ATGCGAACATTTTTGCCTAATATACTTAAATGCATAAATTTGCCAAGAAAACAATTTGTTGAGAAGGACTCACAATCTTCATTATTTAAGACCTTCTAGCAGTAACCGGTTATGCTAAGCATTATTTCTGTGCTTAATACATTTCTGTGCCAACTCCTTGACTCTTTGGAACATAACATCATTGTGCAAAAAGAACATTGCTTTGTACCATGACGTATCACTCACAGGCACATCTTTACAACAACCAAAATATAAGTATTATTTTATTGTCTCTTCCACTTTCACTTTGAAACTCAATTCTGGATTCAATGAAATAAAAAAAAAGCAACAAAAAAAACACAAACAAACAAACAAACAAACAAAAGACAGTCACATTGAGCATATTTGCTCAACAGAGGGCGCCATACACTTTATGACACATGTAAATGCAAAATCAAATGTACCTGTACATGTACTTCATAATGTGCACAAAATGTGAATATACTGTGAATGGGCCCAACTTACCTTGCAAAGACAAACAGGCTGCCCTCAATATCTGTCTTTTCCTGGGGAAAAAAGAAGAAAGAAATGGAAACAAATTCTGATTATAATGACATACATTTTGTACAAAAGAGACGGAGAACTGAGCCCCCCTCCCCTCAAAAAAAAATTGCATTCAAAGGTGTAAAATGGCACTGTTTGCTAAATTACTGTTTGGTATGTTTAATTTCTTAAAACTAGCTAAACCTTGCCAAGCCATTTTAACCTGGGGTGGTGTGTGCACATCTTTTGGACACCAAAATTGTCGGCTAGTTTTGACACCTATTTTTGACACAACGTTTTAACGAACTGTCTACAGTGGCATATGAACCTTAAGCATTTTAAGAGTGATTTCAGGTGTCATATGAACCTTTTTCTCTTCCTTTACAACAAAAACTCACAATAATACTTGCATTTCGAATGTTAAAACAAAGTGCCAAAAAGCCTACCTAAAATCCATAATTGTATACATTTTATTTTTACCAAAAAAATTATGTATTTAACCATATTCCAACTTACTGGCTCATCAATGAAATGAAAGCCTTCTTTAATTTGATACCACATCTGAGGTTATGGTGCTTGTGATTTTGAAGATTTTAATAAATTTCCATTTTTCGGCCATGTCCACATTCTCATACTTGCCCAAATGGTTTTACGGGCAAAATATCACTTTTAACCCACAAAAAAAAAAACTTCAGATTTTTCTAACCAAGTGATACACATGTTTTAGACTATATAGATCACAATCTATTATATCCTATTTAAAAAATTTCAACAAGGATTTTGTTAAATCCTGATATCAGGAAAAAATCCTGACAAATCTCAACCCCGACAAATACAGACTTCCCACTTTAACTAAAACGTTGTTTGTGCTTAAAATCATCAAGATCATTGATCAAGTCCAATCTAACGACAATACTTTGTCTGCATGACTCTTTACATCATAACAAGTACACAGCACTACTTGACAAATAAGGGGACGGTATTGGGCACTTATGGGCAGTACACTGGTTCAACGTCAATTGGGAATGCATTGTTATCAGCACCAGAAAGTACATGTATGTACACAAACAACAACAATTCAAAACAAAAATGCATCCATGGTATTTATTTCTACAAAGCCGTACACCGAGTTTTTGTTTACCATCAATAACAATTCAATTACTCCATTACAAGGTTAGGGTATTCCCCACCATGGGAAATAACCTTGTTGGAGTACTCGCAGTTCAAAGTTTTTGTTGTGACAATGAACAACAGGTACCAATATGTACCTGCATGCCCATGTTACGCCCCCAAGTTTAATAGTCAATGGCCCCAACTATTGTTGGGACATTCCCTTGAATTTAAATGTCATAAACTTTGACAACTCAATTGCTGCATTGCAAGGTGAGGGTATTCCCCAGAATGAGAAATAACCGCGTTGAGGCAATCACAGCTCGGTGTTGTTGTTGTGACAATGTTGTCATGCATGTACATTAGGTTTACTGGTAGATCCAGTAACTGGGGCGCTAGAACTCCTTGTTTTCAAAATTTTGACTTTGGTCGGTTGGTCGCACTAGCGCCCCAGAAAAAAGGACCCCTACAATGTAAACTAGAGTATTTTCACGAACATCCCCCTCCCGACGCCCATGCAGTCATCTCAGTCAGATCTTATCATCTTCAGACATTTTTCAAAATGTGGAATTGTGATTAGGCCATGAGAATTAAGCTATTTGCGTCCACCGCCTGCACCTCCCCGCAGCAGCTGCACGAACATTTCATTATTTTGAAAAACTTTCATTATTTAAAAAAAAAACTATTCTCAATTACAAATGAGAATTTCACCAATTTTTTTTTATTTTATCGTATGATAATGAAATACTATTTCCACATACTATGGTGTATGGTGTGCATATTTGACACCACGCTAGTAGAGACCTACATGTAGGTCCAGACCACAACTTCGCAATCGTCAATCCCATCTGCATAGTGCAGTACACAAAATGTACGTACATTCTGTGTGCCAGTGTGCGAATCATTGGTTTTTCGTCGGGTTTCAAGTGCTGCTTCTATCGCTTGATCTGATTGGCCCTTTGATTGTGGCACTCACCGAGTCAACCAATGGAAACTTAATCTCAAGTTCCACATTTTAGGAGATGGTTCGGAGATTGAATTTTCACTAAAATAATGAATAATGAAAAATGAAAAAAAAGAGCCTCCTGACATCTGGAAAATATCCGGACACAAATCTAAAACTTTCATTCTCATGGCCTTAGGGTAGTCCGAAAATTTGGGACTCTCATACTTTAAGGTTTTGAAAACATGCAATACAAGAAAAAAGACTGGCATCATTAGGCTTTGTAAATGACTGCTGAATATATGAGGTATGTGGGTGAACTCTGGGGTGGGATATTAGAGGTGAAAATGAACAATTTTTGGGAGAGGCCATTTTTTTAGGGTCTCTTGCTACCACATGGAAACGAACAGGCCTTCCTCCAGCGTTACATGTGAATGAATATGGAGCATGTCAGCTGGAGTTAATCAAGCTAGGGGGGGGCCCTACAAATACTACAATCTGACAAATCACCCCCATATAACTTACCAAAATCTTCAAAAATCTGCAAGCTTGTATTTAACCATGTTAACACAATATCCATACATATGTTGCAGACTTTACCGACTTTATTATTTGCTGTACATGTACTGTATGTGCAGCGTTAGCCTTTCATTCGCCATGCATAGTCACTGGCTGACTGCATCGCGAGCGGCATTGTCATGATTGTCATATTGACTGATTGACAATGCAATGCAATGCCAATGGGAAATGCTACGTTTGCCAACGCTTACTTATCGATACCAACTTCAAACCACACTTCACTCAAACTTACCCATTCATTTCCCTCTGCATTGAACGTGTACAGGGCTACTTGACTAGCCGTCTGCACGATGTTTGTAATGTACGGATCGCACTGCTGCAACGCTGCAAGATTCATACGATCTTCGGCTTTACTGTCGGCCGCCATCTTGCTTCTTTTCTGTTTGCTTGGTAAAAATTAATCAGATTCAAAAGAGGGCGCTCTTTCAAAACAAAAGCACGTGCGCGCCAAGTCATGCAAGTGGCGCAAGCGTGTTTAACACGTTCGTTAGGAAAAAAAATTTTATAATAATATTTTGTTGCTAATTAACATAATTAATACCCAACAACAAACACAGTAAACAAACAAGTCTAAAAAGAAAACAAGTACAAAAAAAACAGCCGGGAAAACCCATTAAAAAAAAAAATCCATTTTCACCTTCAAAGTCAATTTCGACTCGAGTCCGTATTTTGTTGAGGAAGTGTGATAAATATTTTTCTTACGGATTTGTGAAAAGAAGACAAGAGTACGTCATTATAGGAAAAGATATGGATATTTGAGTTTAAAAATGGGTACCAAATCGAATCCAACAATTTTTTTTTCTTTCGGTGAAGCTGTTCTTGAAAAACGATTTTAGGGTTAAAAAAAATGCCTTTTTCCTGCGTTAACTCACAGTACCGAATCTGATTGAGTAAAAAAAAAAAAAATCGTTTTTCTTCCGGCCTCTCGTTGGTCGTTTTCTTCTCTACTTTAAGATGTGCCGTTGTTATTGGCGTCTTTTCAAGTTCTCGTTCCTAAGATTCTCGGCAAAAATGAAACCATGAAACATCGGTTTTGAAGAAGTGGTGGCGCACTTCACACAGACCACTCCTTAGAAAATGGACTCATCAATAATGACAATGCCTCCAAGCTATGATGACTGGGAGGATCGGAGGTGACGGAGCTGCAAATATCGACTACGTGACTTCAACGCCTTGAACATTATACACAACGCTAACTAAATGGAAAAGACTTCAGCAGGCTTCTGGCTGACAATATGGATTATGAAATGAAACATAAGGTTGAAGCGCACTCTACGTACACATTTCCCTTCGTGATAAAATCTATGAAGTGGATGTTCTTGAAATAAAAAAAATGTCATGATCGAATCTTCATCCAAATTATAATGGATGTTACACTTCGTTAACTTTTTTTTCAATATATATATGACAAAAAATGCCTTCTCAAATTTGTCTAAAATACTAAATTCATCTAAAATACTTCCGAGTCAAAATTTGTTTTGGATAAGCTTGCAGTAGAATGCTTCATTTTCACCATTCATCATTATAATCATCAGCATCTCCGAATTTACTACTTCTGCATCTTATCACTATCTTAAGCTTCACCACGACCGTCACCACAGCCACTAAAATCTGTCACTATCATCATCATAAACAGTACAAGTAGCAGCATAAAAATTAACCCCACAATCTGAACCAGAATAATGAACAGTCGTCCAATTATCTTTATTTTTTTAATGATTCTCCTTGACCTTTGACTCTGCACCCATCTCACTGGCAACATCAATCTCAAGTATTCTTGGAATGACAGGAGCAAAATGCCCGGATGTGGCCATAATACACGTTGAATTGCGCCTGTAATTTGCCGTGCACAAATGACGAACGTTCAACGTACACAACATGTAAACATGGAGTGTCGCTGAAGGAATTACTGTCAAAAATACGGTGGAATTATCAACCTTTTTCATCCCTTTCCAATCCCAAAGATCAACGCCATGGATAAGTTCCGAACGGGTAAAGAATTTGTCAGTGATATCTGTGTGTTTGTGCTTGTTGCAGTGATTGGAATTGTGGTTTTGAGACGATTTTTGGCCGATTCAGGGTGTTTTCCCGAGGTTATTTATTGGTGATGTCATTGATGCGGTTTGTGTGTGCCGCAGCGGACGGGCTGATAACGCACTGTGAGATGGTTTGTTGCCACGTCAATGTCTATAGTGTAATTAATATCATGGATCTATATTCATGAGTATTTTTGAACAATGTGTGTACAGTTTTCGTATTTGTTGTGATTTCTTTGTGAGCTGTGTTATTGTCATGTATTTTTTTTTTCAGCAGATAAAATGGTCTTTTATTTCGGATTTCAGTGACTGAATGAGATATTTCAATTCTGCATTTAAATTGTTTAAAATTATATATTGTGTGAATTTTATTTAAAATGTTAAACTGAGGTACTTCATACTGCGCTTGTGTATTTGAATTTCTTGATAAATTACTGACGGATCAATTTATTTTTTTTGGGGGGAGGGATGGGTGGGAGGGATGGGTGGGAGGGGACACAAGATGACAGGGGGAGTGGCTCTAAAAAATTCTAAAAGCATTGGGGGGGGGGGAATGGGGGATCCCTGGGAGGAAAGCTTAAATGATTTATATTGTGTACTTCGTGATTTATTTCAAATGTGTATTATGTTTTGTTATCACTCATTGTGAATTAGTACATCCAATCGTCATCAAACATGTCAAAAGAATCCTCCCTTTTCCGTCTTACTTATAATCATATTTTGTGTAATCATGGAGATTGGGTGGTAACATATAAATAACAATACAACTTTGACAAATGTCATTGAATGTTACGTCCCCACCCCAGCATTTAGTCCAAAATGACACAAACTTTAGACTATTTGGGTGAGGAGTGATTTCATCTTCTTTTTGATTTTACCAAAAAAGAAGAAAACTTTGTATTGTAAATTTGGTACCTAGACCCCTAGATTTCTGAAATAATATTTGTTAGTAATCTGAAATTAGGAATTTGGCAAATTTTGATTGCATGCACAGTAAGAATCACTGAACTTAGTTTCTGTAGGCCCTGGGACTGATTTCACAAAATTTGTCTTATCTTGCGACTCATCTTAGGACTTGAGACGAGTCTCCACTCTAAGATCGATCTTAGCTAAGACGCATCCCAAGACTGATTTCACTAAATCCATCTTAAGCAAAATGCATCAAAACTAGAATTTGATGGCTGTTTCATGTTTGTTTTTACCGCTTGACGAAACAGTCATTGAAAAAAACGTCCAAAACCAACTTCCCGCGTGCGTGCATAGAACACGAACTTTAGCCAAAAAAATTACTCTACTCAATATATTTCACACGCTAGGTGGTTCTGCAATAGATACAGAAGAGTCATACTTGGTCTCCGTTACATCACTCCATATTAAAAAGTCGAACAAGGTGTCGTATTGATTACATTTTGTAAAAGCTATTTTTATTAAAGGTATCCACGTATCAGAAATCTTTTCATATCTGTTTCTTCAGCAGTTTTCTTCTTTGAAACTATATTCTCTTGGCCGACACTCGTCTTTAACGACAATGATTTCCAGATACAAATCAACTCACGCAAAGTAAAGACGAGTACAGCCGCGTTGCTAAGGAAGTTAGGATGTGTTGAATGCGTCTTAAGTTTGGTGAAATTGATCCTAGGACGAGTCGGGACTTAAGACGAGAACCCTTCCTCAGACGCGTCTTAGTGTTTCGTGAAATCGGCCCCTGGCAGTTTGGCAATTTATTTATTTATTTATTTAATTTTTTTGGGGGGGGGGGGTTGCTACAGCTACAATTTTCAGTGTTGCTGGGACTATCCATAGTCGAAGCCAAAGAAGCCCATAAAATCCAGACAGTCTTTCTCTTCGACGAAAACAGGTGCAGTGTATTTCGTTGCCAAAGGGTGATACTCAGGTTTGAATCAATCCCCAGATAGTGCTGTCGGCAGGCAAAAAATGTAGGAGCTAATCACATTATCTTTGAGAGGAGACAGGTGGTTGGCTGGAGGTGCTAAAATCCACACCGCTTCATCCAATCAGAATCGCTGTATCTGACTGGGCAAGGTGTTAACGTGACCTTGCCGTCTAAACCCCACAGATATCCAAATATTAATTTTGTTCATGTCTAAAATCCTTGCCCTTCAAAGCACCACAGATCCAAATGTTCATTTTGTTCCTGTCTAAAATGACAATATGGTGAAGCTTTGGAGTCAGCCTTGTGATGTTCAGAACTATCAGAATTAAAAACACAAAACAACAAAACGAATGTAAAAACACTACTTTTGAGCGCAAAGTGTTGACATGACTATATTTTGGGAGACTTGGGTCAACATTTTCAGGCCTAATTGAAGTGCAATGTACGTGTGACTGTAAGAATAAAAACTTTAAAAAATAATTTTAAAAGGAAGCAACTATTAAAGGTGTATATTTTAGGTGACTTGTTCCTGCATTTTTGACGCAGAAGAAGACAGCATGAACGGTGAACGTAGGTCTTTTTTGTATAATTCTGGTTTAGTTTAAACGTTTTTGGAAAATTGGTAAACGGATTTAGAATTGTTTTCGTTTAAACGTTTAAACGTGTAATCGTCACATCCTCTGTGACAAGTGAGGTGCTGCATGAAATGCCCTCCCTATAAGGCTATGACTGCCGGGTATACGGTAGTTTGCAAGATTCAATGACCACTGGGCCTTTGCAAAAACACTACAGAGCTGTAATGTTGAAACAAAAAATGGATGAGTCTGAAAGATCGATTGGGCAAGCTATACAAGAAGACAACTATCAAGTGAATGCAGTAACAATCAGAGACCATGGAGCAAATTTGGGGGATGTTCCTGTTGTTTTCTTTAGCCTGTGTCACAAAAAAAGAAATTTTTAAAGGTTGGTTTCAAAGTTTTTATATCCGGTTTTCAAAATTGAAACCGAATAGTGTAATTCAAGTGGAATTTTAAAAATATCTGGATTTAAATCCCATCACTATTTAAATGGGTACCGGCATTAGATGGGGAGTAACCTGCGATGGACTATCATCCCAGGGGGAGTAGTAATATTCTCAGTTGTTTCATGCTACTGAAACCGGAGATAAACGCCAGCCTGATGGGCCACATTGGCTTGTGACAGACTTTACTTACTGGTTTACTTACTATTTAAATTCAAGGTTTAGGAAGCAACCTAAGGAAGCACTATACATTCTCATATTAATAATACAGGAGTCTTATATAGCGCACGTATCTACCAACAATTAGGTACTCAAGGCGCTGGAAATTATGTCTATAATTAAAGACAGGTAAACAAAGTTTATGAGAAATATGAGACCCATTATGTAGCACCTTATAAGGGTTTACAAGGTGCTGCGGCGCATATTGCAGCCACTGCCAGAAACACTGGGGCAAACCCCTTCTCTTAGCGATAAGTACTGTTACTGGGTTCTTTAACGTGTATTACACAACACACAGGACTTACGGCTTTACGTCCCATCCGAAGGACGAAGCAATAATGGTAAAGTGCCTTGCTCAAGAGCACAAGCACCATGTTCCCATGGTCAGGATTCGAACCCATGTACCACGGCACATGAGTCGAACCCCGTAGCCATTGCACCACAGCACCCCATACTAAATGAGTTGTGTTGATTCATTTGATCTCTTTGTTCCCTTTTTGACAGGGGTCCATAATAATGTGGCTGCTGCCACACCTAGCAGTGGAACCTACATTAGTGGCAGCGCTAGTACCCCGACCCCTACAGCCACCACCCCGTCCGGCGCGCCTGCCGGTGTCACCCCGCTTAGTTCCGCCTGGAAAACCACGCTGGCGGCCACCACCACGGTCTCCACAATGAGTCGGAGAAGGAATACGTATAACAAGAAGAAACAACACTCAGGAACTTCGCTGCGCCCGCCGAGGGCGCTGTTTTGCCTTACGTTGGACAACCCTGTGCGGCGGATGTGCATCAGTATCGTCGAATGGAAATATCCTTTTGAAATACTTTATGTGATGATGGAGTTTACAGATAAGTAAAACATTTGGAAACAGTGCATTTATTGTAGGTACACGTGATATTTTACTATACTGCTATACAGTGTGGTTGGAGAAGTTGATTTTGTTTCACCTAAAGGGCACTTTCTATGTGAGCATTGTGTTTGATGCAAATAGATCGATGACATCGGCAGCAATATTCAAGGTGCGTTATGTTATAAATGTTAATTCACTAGCAATGAAGACAGTTTGCCCATTATGGTCGAGAGCCCATCACGTGGGTGGTTTTAAACAGTCACATGAAATTTGGACTCACTCGACCGATTTATTTGTTGATCGTTCACTATCCTCACGTAGGCATGCGCAGCACTACCAATGAGTCAGTATTTCATAGTACTAAATTTACAAGAGACCGGCACAGCTGTGTTCTGCGCCACTTGCGCAGTACGTGCGACGCGCGCGCCAATCTCCATATAAGGTCGACTCCATTTGGCTGGCGCGCAGGTTTGCATAAAATTTGCACGCTCGGATATATCAGACGTTCATAGTGTGGCTCTGCACACGTAAATGTCTGATCTTTAGACTAAAGGCAGAACTATGTAACACAGACACAAAACGGGCTGAAAATGCGCAGGAAAACGTGACTGCATCTCTTTGATTTATTAACAAAAACCTCTTTTAGTTCAGCCTAGTAATTGAGAAGCTCTCTCAAGGCCAAGCCTCAAGGTCTTAATAATGAAGCAACAATTTGCATTTTTAGCAAAATTAACATTTTCTTTTGCGGAATCAGATACTAATTCTACACATGTACTGTACAATGTACACGTGCACACGTACTGTGTACAATGTACAAATGTACATTGCAGAAAAGTGTGTAGTACCTTGTATAGTGTTGTGCAAGACATAAACCATTTCATTCAAAAAAGAGAATTACCAATACATTTGACATGCATGTAAAACTATTAAAACTGATAATAAAGTCCATTGTGTCCATAAAGCGCATAAATTATGTCACAAATTTATTCATAATCACAGAATTTGAACCCAGTTCACTGTACACTGTTTAATGTGCATAGTGTAACTCCAGGATCAGTGACTACAATTTAATTTGAACAGATATATATTTGTGGGATTTTACTCTTTACTTTTTTTTTCTCTAGATTTGCACCAGGATACAGGCAAGTCCTTTTTATGCTGGAAAAGATAAATTGACAATTTGAAAAATAAAATAAGTATTCCTGATGCTAAATGAACGTGTACATCAGACGCATATAATGTGTACACCTACACATTATACGTGTCTGTTATAAATCAAAATTTGAAACAAATTCTAATAAAATGTGACAGTTGAGGCTTGCCGTGCATGCACTTACATGCAGATTGGATCTTATCCCCATCTGAACACGGCGGACAGCAAATGCCACATATATTATGAATATTAAATACTCCATTATTGTTTGTGGCCGACGGACAATGAATACATGCTATGGACGTGAATTAATCACACGAGGGCTATAGTGTCTGTATTAATATGTGAACGAATACATTAATTTGCCAGTTTGGTTTGAATTTTTTTTTTTTTTTTTCTAGACCCTTTTATTGTTTTTTTTTTTTTTTCCATGACATTTACGAACCAGTAGGGCAAAGCCACTCAAGGGAGAGGTTTTGTTTTTAATGCAGGCTGCCATTGAAAAAAGCCAGACTTTTAACCCTAAGATACCTGAATCCATCAAAATCCACATCCCTGTTTCAGGGGATTTCGGCTGATTCAGGATACCTCCATATTGCACAAACTGGGGAATTTTGATGGATTCAGGATTGGAAGCCTAGCGGAACTGCAGGATTTTGATGGATTCAGGATACCTCTATATTGGGCTGTTGGGAGACTTTGATGGATTCAGGATCTCAACAGATGTACTCCCGCCTAACTGGTGGATTCTGATGGACTCACTGGCTACCAACATTTTTTGGCATCATGGCAAAATTGATGGAGTTTGTCGAATTCGGGATAATCTCTTGTAAAAGAGCCCAAGGGTTTAGTGTTAAAGCACTAGTTTTCTCTTGTAGTGCACACAACATTTACTGCATTTGTTTATGGTTTAAATCGAGGACACACAGGTGCAACGTCATCGGTGAATCGAGGACAGGAACCAAATCGAGGACGACCTTGATTAGAAAACATGTACAAAACCAATGAGAGCAGCTGTGAAAAAGTTAGAGTACAAACAAAGGAAAAGGGAAGAGGAACAAAAGCAAATCCTTGATTTACACCATAAACAAATGTGCTAGTACATGTACATGTACGTGTGTGATGCTGTACATGTACAGGTGACAATTTGCATATATGCAAATCTCTTTTTCAAAAGTCAGGTTGTCATGTGCATAGCGTTAATTTCCTCGCCCGGTTTGAGTCCTGCCTGGGCGAATATGCTGATAGGGTTTTTAGTCCCTGCTTGATTCCATGGGTTTTCCTCGGAAAATTTGTCTGGGATTTTCCTCCCCCATGTCAAAACTGTAATTTCTGCACATTTTCTGTGGTGATTCGTAGTTGTGTCAATACATGGGATTAAGCCAATAAGAAAACGTTTCTCAAAAAGCAAATATTTAGGTTCACAATTGGAACTTAAAATCCCTAATATTTGGGTCATTTCATGTCATCCTGGTGCATTTGTCATATTTGTTGGCAAATTATTTGGCTTTGTGTATGTATAAGGGATTTTAATGGTCAATGACATCGGAAAGACTTCAGAAAAGTAACAAATTTGAGTTATGTTCTGAAGTTGAGAAAGTAGCCTATGCTAATCCCATTAATTTAGCTGCCCTGTAGCTGACACTAATATGAGAAGATGCATACATGCGGCGCGTGCTATCACAATCATCGGCTAATTAGAATGAATTGGATTTGTTTTGTGAATATGACGTGGAAGAAATGAAAGTGGTGATATATTAATAGCGTTTGAATTTGTTTATTGGCTTAGAACGAAAGTAATTGCTATAACAGGCCCACTGTGATATTGTTCCAGGACACCCCCCCTCCCTTTTCTGCAAATGATAATGTAGTTGTATTGGTTGACTTTGCATCAATATTGCCTTTGTAGATATTGGTGACATTATGTCTGTTATATTTTTTAAGCATAATGGTACTGGTAGGAATTGTGCATTTAAAGGTATAGTCCATCATTTGTAATTTGTGTATTTTGTCGTTTGAAGGAACAAAACTGCTCAAAATCTAAAGAAGGGTGCTGAACAACTAACCTGTTGAAGTTTCAGCTCAGCTTCAGCTGTATATTCCGAGAAAAACGGCATTCTAAGATCTCGATTCCAAATCAAAAGTTGCTGAATCTTGCTTTGAAGTGGGCCTGAATTCACCGTCCGAGACACGTTCTCGCTGAGCCGATTGCAGCTACACGATGTCGCGCACCGATCCGACGAATTTTAGCAACCCCGCGCGTGTGTGCGTCATGTCAACGCTTGCGCGCTTCGCCGAATAAAAAAAACGAACTACTAACGGAAATTTCCAATGTTGCGTCTTTAGAAGCACCGTTGGAAAGGCCTTCTTTTGTTGATTTCTTCAAAATGACACCTGCCAGAAAAAAATAATTTCACACGGATTTTAGTCCCCTTACTATCTTTCAAACAAGTATGTTTTTTAAAAATAATCACGTCAGTTACTTTTTGGATAGCTGCAAATGATGGACTGTAGCTTTAAACAAACCAGGATTGCCTTGCGGTCCTGTTATGGTTCTGGAGTTGGACCCAAAACTCTGAGTTGAGGATTCCGTCAGTCTGTCAGTCAGTCAGTCTGTCTGTCAGTCAGTCAGTCAGTCAGACGGCAGTAGGCTGGCCCGGCGTTTGGGTTCAGCAATTTCTGCCTTGCTCAAGGCACAGTGGTCATTTCCGTATTGCAATTGAAACACTAAAAACCTTTCTTATCATCCTAGGACTTGTTTCATAAGGGTTGATGGCAAAGTGTGGCATTATTCAGGAATTTAATGAAGGCTGTTGTCGTATAGAGTGCACACACACTTAATTAGCAAGTAAAGTACCGTTAACAGGTTTTAAAGTGAAGTGTTGTCCATGAATTCTAATGAATATATTCATGACTAGTTGCAGTCTGAGACTGAACAACAAAGCTAAACATTCTGAGCCGTTAGTTTTCACATAGCGCAGACCTCACAATTGGTGTGTAACACGTATACATCCCTCGCCTAATATAAAAACTATTATTTTAGCTAACACCACACCACAACCGTAACCTAGCCATTTTTGTAATAAGCTCCCTTATGGTACTTGGAGTCTGTCAATTATTTACCAGACGTTGCCTCGGTAGGCTAAATTCAATTTCTTACCCTCAAATTTCTTCAGGGGAATGAAAATTGCCCTACTCTTCAAATCATACCCACACACACCAAAAGGGCAGTGAGAGGCGTACGCTGAAACAGAACAGACAGACGCATCTTGCATGACTAAATGCTGCGCCCAAGCATACCGCAGCATGCTTCACCTGCATTTGGCTTCATTCAGTCAAGATGCCATCCTTTGGGCTCCACTCGGGTGGACTGTGGAAGCCCATTTGCTTGATGAGCATGTACATGTAGCCCCCTCGTTCCCTAATGGATAAAATAACATCGTCGGCTGAGGGTGCCGGCCAATATTTGTTCCAACCCAAGTCGTTAATCAAGTGCACTGTCAGGCCAAGGGTGTCATCTGAAATCCCCCCTTCCCTGGCATAAAGAAAAGCATGATTTCATGTGGCCGGTTTACTTTTGCAGTATAAATTCTGGTTTCTGATTTGAAGAAGAAAATAAAACGTATGGCTTAGGAACTGGACAATCAGTCTTAAAGGTGATTACAATATTTGCTTTAGCTCTAATTTTCAGAAATGGATGGATTTGGGGGTTGGTATTTTGAAGCAAATATTTTTTACACGGACCTGTTTAAAGTTTTGTGTCTACTATACATGCTGGAAAACCCGAGAAAATATGCTGTTCTTGTAGTCTGGTTCCCTGGCCCTACTTCAGGTGAAATGGAGCAATTTTGATAGACGTCAGGAATTGTCATGTCAGGAATCCAGACTAGCTGGCTTGCACCTGTTCATTGATGTGTTGCAACCGTTTGCAGACAAAATGTGGACTAACTAAATTTGGTAAATTGGGAGCAGTACCGGTAGGCCTAAGTTTTGATGGT